ACGGTGTCATGGCTTCTAGAAGTCTGATATACTCACAGAAATTTCCGCTTCTTAAACATCCAACAAATGACAAGAGCAATAGTTCCAAGTTAAGAACCATCAACCAGAAGTTGAATGTTGGGGATATCTTCGATCTGGTGTTGATCCAGTCTTCAAATGTTGCTGAAGAGTTTCCATGAGCCTCAAGAAGAAGATGATAAAGTGCACAAGCAGTGACTTCATGTGCTCGTCTAGTCCTTCTGACATGTGATCCTCGAAGGAACGAATCAGCTTTGCCAGAAGATGCAATCTGGGCTGCAACTATCATATCTGTCCATCCACTGTCCATGAGCCAGTTCCCCAACACTTTCAGAAACGAAATCTCTATATGCAATCCTCCCATCATTATTATCATCTTGTCCTCACCATGTGTTGCTGGATACTGCCACTGTATCTGCTTCATTGTGGCATACAATGGTTGGTCTGCAGCTATGACTGGAGTTTGTCCGGGATTGAGGTAAGATGTTGCCTGTGCAATCACATCCATGTCATGTTTCAACATTGCAGCAGAGTCCGCATTTTCTGTGAAAAGTGGAAGGAGAGAAGAAATGGACTTGATGATCTGATCTGAATGTTGCTTCTTTGCATGGTAAACAGCCCATGAAACATCAGGATGATCAGCATGCCTTTCTTTAATTAGTGTGTCCACATGTGTTAACCACCTGAAAACAATAGAAATGAGCCTCGAATATTTTTTTGATGTTCAATTATCATGCATATTTTGTGTGGATATGTATATACGGTATATAAAGGTGAAAGTTTGATCAAGTTTACAGTCTTCACAGTGACAAGTTAAGAAGGAAAGCAAGTTTTTCTCCTACTTTTACCAATTAAGATGTCAGGGAGTATTTATATGATATTTATATTATTAGAACGTTGAAGAAGCTTATGATAATTGAAACATAATTTAGTTTTTTTCTGAAAGAACTTAACTTGACTTAATCATTTTCTTGCTGCATGAAGTCATCAAGTTTCACAGCTGTAGAAGCATGATAGCATGGCGTCTTTGGACAGGATGAAACATCTTTCTTCAGGATAACTGGTGGAACCTCTTCATAAAAAGCAGGCAGCTCTCTCACAGATTTTGACTGTGGTTTGGAGTTTACATCTAAAGGTTTCGTCTGTCAACCCCTTGATTGTCTTTACTTGGATGTTGAAAGATGGATATGCCTGTACCATGAAAGGACCCTTGTGCAGTTGTTGAGCTTGGGTTGTGATCAATGTTGTCTATTGCTGAGGTTGTGAAGAGGTTGAATTTGAGTTTTGATGGGCAGACAACTTGTTCCTCAATGTATCTCCGGCATGCTGCATTAGCCACCTCCAACACTCTGTCATATGATACAGACATTCCAAAGTCATACATGAAGTCAATCAAGTCTCTTTTCCGTGTCTTGGCATGAAGTGTCATTCCAATATACAAGGGAAGTGGTGTCTCTCGATCCTTGTTGTGCCGAAGGGATGTAGTTCCTTCCTTTGCGCGTTTACTACAGTTGTAAACAAGTAGCTGAGAAAGTGATAAGGCAGTTTGTTTCCTAGCAGTTGTCTGTGAATTAGAGGTTGTTCCTTCCAGAATCATTTCAACAAGAGAAAGTAGAGAGTGTGGAATAGACTCTGTCTGGCAGTTTACATCAAACGCTCCTGCCAAAATGTCCTTTCTCACAAGTTGAGCTGCTTTACTGAGTATCTGACCTTTATCATCAAAGTCCTGATCATGAACGGTTCTCAGAGCTTCCCCTACATGTTCTGTGAAGACCAAAAGTGTTTCCCTTCCACTTGAATGAGCTTGGAGATCTGGAAACTCATCTAGTAACTTGTTCTTCAGTCTTGTGCTGTGAATGTCATATTTCAGGCCATGATATTTCAAATAGCTTGAATACACTTTAGACAGTGTTGACAGTTTCAGTACAGGGAGATTTTCTTGTCTACATTCGTCAACATATTGTTTAAGCTGAGCGATAGCTAAACCTTCTTTAAGTCTTTGGGAATGACTGATATCATCTGACTGTATAAGTTCCTCGGTTTGGGTTGCTTTTTTGTATAAATTGGAAAGACATCTCGGGTGATATTTTGCATCCTGTGCCATCAAATCCCTAGTACTGAGCTTAGCTAACAGCTGACAATCTTGCAACTTCAAAGCACATTCGCGTACACGTTTGTCAACTTGAAAGGTTGACACACATCTTAACTCTGATTGCAGTCCTGACTGCTCACAAACAAAGCAAAGGTTGCCGGTATCTGCAGTTTTGTTCCCGTCATGAGGTGAACTTCTTACGACTTTACTTTCACAATGTTGTGATGGGGAAAGGCAGTCACCGCATTTACTGTTTGAAGTTTCAAGTTCATTGGATAATCGTCTTTTCTTTGCCCTCTGCAGCATGTTATTGTTGAATTTGAGACTACATGACTTGTGCCAGCGTGCTCTGTGAGATTCAAAGGTGGTGAAAATATTCATAACACCTCCAAAACAACTCAAATTTATGTCCATTGGCAGCTGTCCAAGTTCAGAAAAGACTTGTAAGTTACTAGCCATTGTGGCGTAACCGTTTCCTGACTGGTTCTTAGCATTGGCAGGGCAGATAACAGGATCCTTTGTGCATTTCTGGCAAAATACACACAAACTCCAATCCATCTTGGAAGCATCTGTGGATTGTGTTTGACTAGTCATCATCCGTGGAATCTGGAAAATAATAAAGCTATTATTTTCTGGAGAAATGACCCAAATAAAAATTAATTTCATGACATGATAGTATGAACTGTCCTTGTCATAACCTAATCCTCATGATTGATATTTTGAGAATTTGAATAACTTATGAACCTGCTGTATTTATATTGATAAAAGAAATATTACACTAATTAGTTATTATCATGGACATGATTTGAACTTGTACACCTAGATGATTTTGAAATCTGAAGCTAACATTTTCCAAATAACAGTGACATTATTTTGTTTATAAACCATTCTGTCTTTAGAAAATAAACCACATATGGCTTTTAGTTAATTGGTAGAGAAATACCATCAAAAAATATAATTCAACAAACATTTTCAACAGAAGTCCCCTCCATCTAAAGAAATAAGATCAGTGGAAGGGAAGTATTATTACACGTAAATTCTACATAACCTCAGATACCATTATTTTTAAATAATACCAAGTAATCTGAATGATGTAAATTGGGTATTTTTTTGTTTTAGACAATTCTGAAACTATATACCAATCAAGGAGATATACATTATTTGTCTTGTCAAGTATTTAATGTCCCTGCAACTTGTTAGTGATGAAACCCCTAGGTGCCCCCTTGCACATAACTAACACAGTGAAAAGAGTTTTACTCACCATTCATGTCTCCTCAGTAACAATGAACATTCTTCTTGCCATGTGGGTAAAATGAATGTAAAATTTTCCAATTATACAGGACTATTTGACTGATTACATCATTGTAACCTTGACTGATGAAATAATAGCAAAGTCATAACATAGGGGAGATCACTTCACCTCATTTCTAGTACTTTCCACACAACAAATAACAGTGGCTCAATATTTAACAATATTTTTTTGGAGCTTCATACAAAAATAATAAAACATATTTTTGAGTGCCTCCCTATCTGAAACATGTTAGAATATTATTTTCTTAGTATTTTAACTAAAATTTCACTTGTAACATGTAAATGCACAATTGCATACAAAACATGCCATTATCCGCTGGACTATCAGGGCGTCTATACCCATATCTTTCCTTTTAAGGTAACATCTGTCTTTTGGTAAGTTCTGTGATTTGGGCTTCACACATTGTACCAACGTGGGGCATTGAACCCCGGTCTTCGGCGTGATGATTGAACACTTTAACCACAAGGCTACCCACTGGACCTAGTTTTGTATAGAACACATAAAAACAATATCGCTTTGTGTACCTTGCCTTAAATTACCCATTTCTATGTGCATGGTTCTTCCCAGACACGACTGACATGGCTGGTGTCAACTACACTCGTTAACTTGAGGCCAAATGTCATTTTTATCAATAAACAATTTTAGACACATAACCGGGTCAGTTTTACTTGGTGATGAAGGATCAGATAATAATAATAAGTCATCTTCTATAGCGCACAGTCTACAAACACCAAGTGATTGCTCGCGGTGCTTAATCAGAATCTGATTATTACTACCCCGGATAACTCAAGCTGCCTGTTAGGCGCTAGAAGGTGATAGTCACATGACTTTATCCCACCGGGTACCCATTTTCTGCTGCGTGAACAGAGGCAATTTTGAACAAACTCACTTTCATAAGGTGAGACCACATGTATCGCATGTGCTTCGTTGTGGGGCAGGACTGAAGTCCTAGAAACTCTCAGGAGTCAAGCGGCTAAACACGGTTACCCATCCAAGGACTGTTTGAGCTCGAAGATGCTGAACTTCAACTTATTCGTGACCTGAGCTCTGTGCACAGGACCACACGTCACCACATGGGATCCCGTTGATGAATGCATTAGGGAGGACTTGGTTACATTTATAACTCACCATCACAACAAATGTTTCATATATTAGTTCTATTTACAAAACAGTCAATGGGAACCCTACAGGAAACGTTGCGTATACCTTACGGAAACAGTGTAATAAGAAGAAACAGTTCATAAATGAACCATTACGTCCACATGATTACAACTGATCCAATAGGACATAGTAAAAGTGATGACTGAAAGGAAGTCACACATCAATATCGTCTGTGTTCTAAATATCCGGCTGAGGGGATGGTGTTAACCCAACTAAGGGATCAACAGCATGAGCATCGATCTACGCAATTGGGAACCAATGACATGTGTCAACCAAGTCAGCGAGCCTGACCACCCGATCCCGTCAGTCGCCTCTTACGACAAACATGGTTGACTGAAGGCACATTCTAACCCGGACCTTCACGGGTTGTTTGATTTGACAACTGACAAGTTGTCCATGACATTCATAAGAGTGAGCGAGTCCGTTATATTTTAATGTCAGCCATACAGTGACGAGAAAGGTTTTACATACATAATAAATACAAGTTGTTAAAACTCCATAAGAATAAGCAGACATACAACGTAAAAACATATATGTACAGCACACATGAAAATATATACAACAATTGTATAAAATGCAAACTTCAACACCACTTAACCGTAATCATGCAATAACAAATACATATAGGTTAGTTTGCACATGTGTCAGTTGACAGGCACACCTAGAACCATGTTACCGTGATTGAAGAAGAATTGCACTGTAAGTTGATTACAGTTATGTTTACAAACACTCCAGTACTGTAGCAAAACAAGTGAATATATAAAGTACATACATACATATAGGATCATACAAGATGCAAATGTAATTTATCAGAGTATAATATATGATAACTCAACTATTGTTTAAACACTCACACATAATGCAATTGAAATATATCAGTGGAAACGGGACAGCAACTATACTGAACAGCATTAAACACGCACCACCCATATAATACGAAATATCCCCGTCAAACTGAAATGTGCCCATGATATCTGAGCGTCGTCGGTGCATTTTAGTCAAATGTGTTTTTAATGTTGTTCAGTATATATACTGAAATCAGTTTTAACAAGGTTATTTGTTCTGGAATACATTACAAATAAAATATCAGCTATCACGTGTTTTGTTCTTTTTTATTACGCATCATTGCATTAAATATATTGGCTTTTCAGACGTAGTTAGGTTAAAAAATCACACAATATGAGTGAGTGAGTGAGTTAAGTTTTACGCCGCACTCAGTAATATTCCCGCTATATTGCGGCGGTCTGTAAATAATCGAGTCTGTACCAAACAATCTAGTGATCAACAGCATGAGTATCGATCTGCGGAATTGGGAACCGATGACGTGTCAACCAAGCCAGCGAGCCTGACCACCCGATCCCATTAGTCACACAATATGAAGTTTTAAAAGCTCACATCTGGTTTTATCATACATGTAGGTATGACCGCCTGTCAGAACATGTGTTATCTTCAGTCACATCACAGATGGAACAAAGCTGGGCCTCCAGTGGGGTGGCAGGTCCGCTGTTGTGGGAAATAACAGCTTTTCCAGAAATACTACGATTGTGATCACTAATAATATTGTTATAAGTGATTGAATGCACGAGTTTGTTGTTACATTGATGTCGTATATATGTAGACACAGTAACTTGAGGTCACACACACGTGTGATAGAAAATATATGTTCAGTCCTTGTGTTTGTTTTCAAGGAATAGAATGTGGGACGACCAACACAAATCTCTAGAGAGATACCAGTAAGTGGGCCCATATCTCTGTTTTCACTTTGATGCATATGTTTGTTGGTGATATCGAATGTAGTACTGCTTTACAACTACCACATATTTAATCAATATGAAACAATGAAATGAAACGTCGACATCAGAGGATGCTTCAATGCACAATGCACTTCTATCAGTAAAATGTGGTCCACATCTGATTTACTCAAGTAACCAGTTAGTAAGAGACCCACAATTCAGTAATATTGACTAAACGCCTTACAATAGCACAATGCGATCGTATTGATGGAAATGGTTCGCTAAATAGAATAACGTGTGCATTTTTATGATGAGAGACGGACGATAAATTTCATCGCTTTGTCAGAGCGATGTTGTTTTTTTCCGATACGAAACTAAACACCATAGCTCCAAGCTGTGTGCAGAGTTAGCTCCATTCATAACTCGAACCAATGGTTTCGTAATTCAATAAATGATTAGATACGTTTCCCTTTGTAAGAGGGCGTAGGCAAACAGCGATGACTGCAAATCACTCATTGTCTTTTGTTCTGTCTGCATTTGTAGATGCCCACAGCTACAACTACACACACTACTAAAACAGCTGCCACAACTGGCCCTATGATGATGGCTAAATTACCGAAGTCTTGATCATCCGGTTTTGTAGTTCCAGATTCTGAAAGACGAAAGAAAAACAAACAAGATGAGAACACCGATTCTGAAAGGAGAAAGTAAAATATGAGGACATGTTTTTAGACTGGCAAGCAGCAATGTTCCGGAAACATTATGGCCGTAATGAATTTTAGTCTGGATCCGACATTTAATACAAACAGTGATATCAGGAGCAACAACACATACCGTCCACAAGACATGACTCGAATCAACAAAGTGAGCGACATCTACAATGCTATTTGTTTATTTGTTAACTGCATCATATAAACAAAACAACTTGTTAGGGACCTGTTCAAACTGGAATGTGCCAGTTACAGATAAGCGGACATATACACATTAGAGTGAGTGAGTGAGTTTAGTTTTACCCTGCACTCAGCAATTTTCCATCTATATGACTGCGGTCTGTAAATAATCGATTCTGGACCAGACAATACAGTTATCAACATCATGAGCATCGATCTACACAATTGGAATACGATGACATGTGTCAACCAAGTCAGCGAGCTTGACCACCCGATCCCGTTAGTCGACAAGCATGCATTACTGAAGATCAATTTTAACCTGGATCTTCGAGGGTACAATACACATCATAAGAATAAACAGTGGTTATATAGGGGTATCCTAGTATTCCAATAAACACTGCGTGAAGGTTCGATGTAGCACACATTTTATGAATACTACTTCAAACAAACAGAACTGAACTCACCTGCACATGACATGTCATGATCTTGAGCAATCATCCACGAATTAGATTTCTGTGAGCTCAGGAAGAGAACCAAAATAAGCCGGCGATCTATCTTATAATGAATACTTGTTTTCCTCACTTGTACATTCAAGAACTTGCCAGTATCTACTTCTTTCAATTCATAGTCCGTGTTGATCTCTGCAGCAGATGGGAGCAAAATAAATCTGGCGACATCAGACGAGTTCAGAGGTAAACAAATTAGAAATTCCTTTCTGTCGATTCTGTCCGATTCTGTCCAAGCCAAAGGGAGAGTCTTTTCAAAGTTCAAAAATGCACGATCAAAACCTAAGTAACAGCCGCTCTTCTGTTTCAGGTAATATCCACTTCTACCGTGTATGGCAGCATTTTGGAGGGACCAAATTTCACTGTCGTTTCCGTCTGGGCACTTCAGTCCTGCGTCTTGTGACTCATCAACCTTGTCCCAGTCCATCACACCGTCCACAATAATTGATGATCGCTGTTTGCTGAAGAGAACTTGTTTAGATTCAGGATGGATGATGTAAATGTTGTTGAGATTTTGATTTCGGCCGAGATGAGCAAGTTGCAGAGGAGTGCATTCTTCGAAACGCTTATTTTGATCTGTCAGACGATTATCTAGTTGTTCCAACTGTACACGGCATAGGACTTCTCTGTCAATACAAGTGCCATTGTAGAGCTGGAAAGCATATACCTGCAGTCTCATCAGGGACTCTCTGTAGTTGTTTATTTGATTCAGAGTGTTTCTAAGGTTGTAAATAGTGGATGAGATTGTTTTTAATTTTGTGAGAGTAAACTGGATAAAGCTACACCCCAAACCCTCAGAGCGTTTCCCAGAAACTATGCTGTTCCCTACAATCAGCGAATGAAGCTCAACCAGCATCTCAGGAACCTTATTCAGGTTATTCTTCATGTTAGCTATTTCAGTCTGAAGTTGCAAATGTTGCCCAGTAGAGTTGGAAGCCAAGCTACCTAGATTATTTATTGCCGTAGTCACTGTCACAGCTTGGTGAAACAAAACCAAGAACTTTCTTTCAAGTTTTTCAGCTTCCTGAAGTGTGGATATATCCTTCAACTCTTCAATCGATATTTTGACGTCTTGAAGTTTTTTCTGCAACAAACATAAATGAATGTTGTAAGGAATAGAAATACTAATTATTAATTATGAATTATTAACTCTAAACCAAAGCAATTATCTCTTGATATCAAAGAAAATGGTCATGGGGTATCGACTTTATCATCCAAAACTGTGTTCCACAGGAGATATCGCTTGTATGAGATCAGATGATATCTCATATGAGATATCGTTTTGATAGTAGATTTTGCACAATGCCCAGACAATGCTATGACGTCAGAACTTGATGACGTCACAATGCTATGACACCGCTGCACTGCAAGTCTAATGGCAGTACTATGTACAGAGATGTACATTTTTTGATTGAAAACTAATGAAGAGTGATTTTTGATGAAAAAGAGAACCTCGCCCTCGTGTCTTCTGATATCAAATATGTCAACACTCGTTGATAAAAGTAAAGATATTCTCGGCAAGCCTCGGATATTTGTTACTTATCATTTCGTGGTGATATATTTGATATCAAAAGACACTCGGGTGAGATTTTCAATTTCACCGAGGTCAACTAACACATTTGAGGTTAGGTTAGGGTGTTGGAGTATTTCTGGATAGTAGTTGGTTGGTTGGTTGGTTTATACGAGCAATATACGAGCTATATGGCGGCGGTCTGTAAATAATCGAGTCTGGACCTGCCAATCCAGTGATCAACATCATGAGCATCGTTCTACGCAGTGAGCATTAGTCTAAGCCTCCCCACCCGATCCCGTAAGTCGCCTCTTACGAGAAGCATGGGTTATTGAAGATCAATATTCTAACCCGGACCTTCACGGGTTCCTTAAAAACAGAGAGAAGGCTGCCAGTCTAAGTAAACTTAGACTCAGTATTATTCGTTACACTGCTATGCTGTGTCTAACAAAACCTTGTGGAAGGTCGCGTCAGGTAACCTTTGAGCGACCTATGACCGTCCAACGAAAGGCGAGACGGCCGAACGGATTTTACCAATCAGACAACGGCTACTATTTAGGGTTCGGCGGGACTTACAAAATGGATTTTCTCTTCCCGGTCGCCAACACTGATCTCCCAACAAACGAAAATCCGCATAAAACACAAATATTTGACCTGCAGTATATACGCTTTTGGGTTTCTGTTGACATGGTAATCATTAGCTAATATTTCCGCAAGCTGACATGCTTGAATACTGACAAAACGCTATTTTCAGCGAATGTTTACTCACTGCTGTGGCGTGCATCACTAGGAACCGATCGTACGGAAAATAGCATTCGGAATCATTCGGGTGCAAACTTTTTCGAGGTAAAACTTCAAGAGGCATGTGCGAATGTCCACTTTCGCGATTAGGTAAGCTGTGTTCTGATTGGTCAATTGGAAAGGTTACCTGACGCGACCTTCTACTAGGTTTTGTTAGACTTTGTATAGCAGTGTAACGAATAATACTGAGGCTAAGTTTACTTAGACTGGAAGGCTGCTGAGATCCTTTGAGTCTTCATTCATGGTAGAGCTTGAAATTACATACAGAGAGAGATAATTCAAACAATATCAAATATAAACGGTGAATACAGTAAATAACTTTAACAATTAAATATTAGCAACACTTAACCTGTTAGACTGACTGACTGAGTTTGGTTTTACGCCGCTTTTAGCAATATTCCAGCAACATCACGGCGGGGGACACCAGAAATGGGTTTCACACATTGTGCCCATGTGGGGATTCGAACCCGGGTCTTCGGCGTGACGAGCCAACGCTTTAACCATTAGGCTACCCCACCGCCCCTTAACCTGTTAGAGAGGCATTTAGAAGTAGGAGCAGGAAGGAACTGAAGGATAACAATATCTAAGATCGTTATCAAGCAAGTGATGAACAGCATGAGGATACAATAGGGGATTAGGAGGCCTGACACAATAACAACACATGGGCTTTGTTAAAAGCGTTAAAAAGTTAAGCCTGCAATATACACATGGGGATAGTGAAGCCTGTAGTTTACATAAACGGGGGATTATCGGTGATGAGGATCATTAATGTAATTACCTTGGTTACGGTTGACTGGTGGCTAGAGTCTTTTGATGTTGATAGTTTCTTGGAGTTTCCCGAGTTTTAAGTCTATGAGGTTGGTTGTTAGGGTTGATGATCGTTTGTTTAGCCGTGAGTGAGCTCTGATGGCACAGATTCATTTGCTTTTTGCCATAGGCTTTTCACTGGAGACTATTGAGTCACGTGGAGGGTTGCCTTGCAAAGTTTGTGCAGAAGGATCTGGTAACGATTGTTGAGTAGGTTGTAGGTGCAAAAGAACCCGATGAGGTATCACGCAGAGCAAAATTACGTCTGAGGACATAGGGATTTAGGTAACTGGCATGGACCAAAGATTTATGTTCTTTGTTATCTGAACATCTAGTTTTGTTTGGACCAATATTCATAATTTATTAAGGACCTATCTGTCTATTTGTTGACTAATATACGTGTTGTCATGAGCAATATATTTTACTTTTGTTTCAAATTGTCAGTGAGCCGCCTACGACGCATCTTTGCATTATTACCAAGTGTTGGATTTTGTGTATGTTTAGTGTAAAATGAAAGGCTCGTTTTTCTTCCAAAAGGCATTTGATGTGGTGGGAAACCATTTGATTGGCATGTTGAGATACACAGGGGAACACATGGAAGAATATCAGCTCAGGTGGTCAGGCTTACAGAAAGATCTTAAGGCTTGTGCAATTGCACCGTTTTGCCATGCAACCTTTCCCATTGTCTGCGGTGGTATGATGGTGTGAAGTGGTGTTTAACCTGCCTAAAATGTTTCACAAATAGAAACATTAAAGAGCTTTGTTGCTGCTTCCACAGCATCTTGGGTGTGTAATGAAAACCCTTCAATCTACCTTGACCATGAGGCTACAGCTACAAGGACATACTCATGCCCATCCTTTGTTTAAGGTAGAGGCCCAAGGATATTTACACGTGGCCTGGAAAAGTTGTCTTGATAGGCATAGGAACAATTGGAGCTGGTTTGGAATGGACCCAACGTTTGTTTGTTTAACATTCATCACAAGATTTGATGTATGTTTCTGCATCTTGTTCTTTCATCAATATGGACTGGCTTGAGAATCAGTGTAATGAGAATGAATCTCACCATTCTCGAGATAGTCAATGACTGGCATTAAGATCTGGTGAATTGCGTTGTCTCTCTCCGTTTCCAGGACTGACTGACTGACTGAGTTTAGTTTTACGCCGCCTTTAGCAATATTCCAGCAATATCACGGCGGGGGACACCAGAAATGGGCTTAACACACTGTGCCCATGTGGGGAATCGAACCCGGGTCTTCGGCGTGACCATTTTCAGGAGTATAAGTGACAATGATTTCAAAGGTTGATCCTGATGGAATCTCATCTTGATAGCAGAATTCAGCAAACGGATCATAATTTAACTGGACATTGGATGAAGTGTATTTGCGATAAAGAGCATCAATTGTGTATTCAATCTGTATATGATTGTATAATGCATGTAACTCCAATGTATATTGGACAGAGGCCTGAAATACAATAAGCATCTTTTGACTTGGCTTTTTCACTTTTATTTGAGAGAGCATCAGCATTTGTATCAGCTGTACCTGGCCTATGTTAAGTCTCGAAGTGAAATTCCTGTAGCATGAGAGACCGTCTGCAAAAGGCGACCTCTTTCCTGTTTGATGCCCTTTAGCCATTAGAGACCATGATGCCTTCCAGTACAGCCAGACGCTCCAACTGAGGGATAACCCAATTTGTTTGCGATAATAGCTCTCAAGACCCTGAAAATGTCTTACACCATTGACATGTTGGGAGAAGGGATGCGTTTAACTTCTTCCTTTGATTTGTCAACTTTCACTACATCTTTGCTGAAGGTGGCTAAATATTATAATACTCCTTTGCTGCCAACCTTTATTTGCTTGGTTTTAAAGTATGACCGGCTTCTTTTAGTTTGCGAAAAGCACATTTGAGGTGCTCTTCAAATGTTCTGCTGTAGATAATATCATCTACATAAATTAAAGTAGTATAAAGTATAGCAGTATAAAAGGTTTCTTGGAAAGCAGCAGATGCACTTTTAGACCAAAAGGAATATGGTTAAATTAAGAAATGTCATCTTAGGCTGACTTATGTATTATTTCTGGATGAAGTGGTATCTGCCAAAACCTACTTGCACAATCAATAACAGAGTACGGCTTATCGTGATTTTCCCCAATAGCGCATATATGACATCTTCTAAACGTTGAAGAGGACAGAAAATCATTTTTGCTGTATTGAGCTTGTGATAATCGACTGCATATAGATAACTATTGTCAGATTTTTTGACCATGACTACTGGTGAATGGCAGTCAGAGTGACTTGGTTCTGTTATTCATGCATCTAACATGTTCTGAATTTGCTTGGCACATTCCTTTCTAACCAAAGATGATACGCGGTAGAAGTGTAGTCTAATAGGACAGGTATGCTCTGTCTCAATGTTATGCTGATGCAAAAGTTTTCCCAAGCTCGGACCATTCTTGGGCAAAATCTTATCAGTTTGTTGCTTTTGGGCCTCAATGAGATCTAAATCACTCAGGCCAAATGACAGATTGGAGCTTAGCTCAGAGGGCCTAGAATGGACGGAGGTGTTGACTGATGGGTGACCCTTGATTGGTTCAGATTTCCAGCGTACCAAGGTGAGTCAAAGAAGGAGGATGTGGTTACTGTTCGTTGACGAAGTAAAACAGGTTTATCAGCTGGATTGAGAAACCTCATGTATGGTCTACCATTGCCACTTTGTGTGAGACATTTGGTTCCTTGAACCTTAGAGTGCCTCTTGAATAGGAAATGGTTCCAGTAGCAATACTCAGCTGTTCCCACAACGGGAGATTTTAACAGGAATATCAGCCTGGGAATAGGGAGGAATTTGAACTGGTTTGGGTTGCGAGGTTTCACAAACACTGCATTTGCATCCACCAAGCCTAGGTGAAATAATCTATCCATGCAGGTAAACTGAACAGTTTCAGAGATCAATTGTGACATGGTTTGACTG